AACTCTGGCCTGGCAATGCCACCAGCACTTCCTATATATGGAGAGAAAACCTGAATGTAATGAAGAAAGATCAGACAAACCCCAAATAACTTATCAAAAGGGTTCATGTTGTTCAAGTCAGAGAAAGTGACCAACAGCCTGTAGCTTGAAGATGTGATCGCTAGATGCAGTAATGCAATGAGAGGTTTTGACATAAAAAAGATGAGAGGGGCAATTGATAAAAGTAAGTTTGTCTATAGCTTCATTGAAAGTATTGTGTCTGTGTGAATCTCCTGGTTTGTGTTCATTAATTGTGGTGGTGGCTGTTGTGTCCGTAGACTCAGAACCGATCCATAGCTGACCTTCCAGCAGGTTTTCAGAGGCAGTTAATCTCATGTTAGGAGATTGCCCATCTTTCTCCCGCAGAGCAGCTGGTGGCCTCGAACTGCATGCCTTCAGGATTGCAGTGTGGCTTCTTGCCACTAGGCGACCAAAGCTCCCTAACTGTGGTTAGGAAATGTGTTAAAATTAGAGGAAGCTGGGTGAAGGGTATATGGGAGTTCTGATTATTTCAAATTTTTAGTAAGTTGAATTCTTTCAAAACAAAACCAGTTATGCAACAGTAGAGAGGAAGTGGTGGAGGTAGTGAGGTTGGAGCCGCCTCCAGGGGCCTGCACACACTTTCCTCCCCTCCTGCCTCCTGTTGTCTGTAATCTTAACAGACTCAATGCTCAGCATCTCACAGCAGCCAGAACTATGAAAGCCTGGCTCCTGGGCTCAACCAGGGGATGCCAGCCTCCTTCTGGCCAGACCAGCTGCTGGTCATGGCCCATATCATCATCCAACCACAGTGAACCCACACACATGCCTTGCTGTTGGTGAGATGGCAACTTCCCCTGTTCCCAGCCAGACCTAAGACATTGGTCCTGGACACTACAGACAGCTTCCCGTGATGTCTGAGATGAACTGGCTGTGGTTTGAGTGACACAGCTTACTGAAACAGAAGCTGGAACTCCAGTCCAGTCTGGAGCAGGAATCCTATCCTCCTGGGTTCTCTGAACTTGGGCGATATATCTGCAGGCAAGTGGCTGTGAGGCCAGGCCTGCCAAGATGGGACTTGAGTCCACATTGCATTCCTGCGCTGGCCAGGTTTGGTGAAGCTGTATCTACTGGTCAGTCACCCTCCAATCCTTGGGCCTCCCAGCCAGTTCTCCTCAGCTCAGCTTTCTCAGACTCAAAAAGCAGATCTTCCTCATCTGGGAAGGGGCAGATGAGAAAGTAGGGCATTTTCCCTAGCCTCTGTGGGGAGGGAACCCAGACTGGGGTTTCAGGGATCAGCCACTAAAGACTGGGCAAGCCACATCAGAATTTAGGGCCAGGCCTCCCTTGGCCTCCCTGGCTCCCCAGAGCCACTATGACCTTCTAATATGAAAATGGCCTTGCTAAAAGGGACAGAATAAATGGAGGCCTAGAAAGTATGGTGCAACTGTTCCTTTTGCTGTTTGTTTTGGGTAAGAGAGAGAGAGAGTGTGTGTGTGTGTGTGTGTGTGTGTGAGAGAGAGAGAGAGAGAGAGAGAGAGACAGAAAGACAGAGAGAGAGATCTGAGTGAAAGTTTGCAGAGCAAATTAGTTTTCCATTTAACAATTCAGAGATTTTTGGACACACTAATTGCAAACTCACGTTAACAGCACTCTTCCTTCTCCCTCCTGATATTAACCATTTCCATTCATCTTTCTTGCCCACCTCTTCCTGCCTTCTGAACATCACCCCTCAGCAAACAGCATTTCCCTTTGTTGTCCTGTGCCTTTTACACCTGTGTTCCTCCCAGGGTCTCCCTCTGCCTTCATCCCTCTGTGCTGACCTCCTCCTTATTATTTAATAAGCCCTGCTCTTCACCCAAGGAGCCCTAATGATGTAGTTTTTAAGCTATCAGGCTAGCAGTTTGAGTCCACCAGTAAATTCCAGGAAGAAGGATGAGCAGTCGTCTCTCAAAAATAGTTACATCCCCTAGTGGCAAGAAGCTGCATTGCAATCCCAGAGGTGAGCGATTCAAATCCACCAGATGCTCTGCTGAAGGAGGGACCATCTCCTCCTGTACCAGTCAGATCCGATTTGGCGGTACACACACACACATAATTTAAAAAAAAAATTAAAATAAAAAATATATCCTCAAAGACCCAATGAAAGGTCACTAAGGGTCAGAATTGACAAAAGCAGTGGGATCAATTCTCTAGTTTTTCTGTGTTCTCACCCACACTTCCTTTACTGCTGCCTTTCTTGGCATGGTCCTGCTAACTCATTGGCCCCTGTGCAGACGCTTTCGTTAAACCTGGCGTGTACAAGGCTGACTTTCTGCAGACACCAAACAGGTAAGTCTTTTTCATGGCTCAAGTCTCTTTTATTTGGTGGATGGCATCTTGTTCACTGTGTGTCTCATGACCCAGTTGTTGCGACTCATATGCACAGTGGATCTAAACCTTGCTCTATCCTGAGCCATCTTCGTCATTTCTGACAGACTTCAGCCTACTGTTACCCGTACGTGTGAATCTTGCTGAAATTCCTCCTCCCTTATGCTGACTCTCCATCTTTTCAAGCTTGATGTGCTTCTCCAAGGACCAGCCCCCTCCTAAAAACATGCCCAAGGTATGCGAGAGGGAGTCTCCCCAACCCCGCCTCCAAGGAGCACCCTGGTTTCACTTTCTCCAAGACCCAGTAGCACTTGTTTCAAAGGCTCAGCAGCCACTTCTGTTCTGAAGAGGTGCAAACCCAAACATTTATCTCTGGAGATTTCCATCAAGTTGATCCCTACTCGTGGCGGGTGACCCGTGTCTGCAGAGTAGAGAGGTTCCGCATGACTTTCAGACACAGTGACCTTTTGGGAAGGGGTTGCCAGGTCTTTCTTTGGAGGCACTTCTTGGTGGGTTTAAATGCTAACCTTTAGGTTGCCAGGCACTTAACTGTCCTCGTCACCCACGGACCCCTCCCCTACCTCTCCTCTTTCCAAGTCATTTCTGTAACAGTGTGCTGGTGTTTAGGGTTACACATTTTGTCAGAAACAGAAGGAATCCATGCACTGACTTGGCCAATTTGAACTTTATTTTTATCAAGAGAAAGAAAATGCATTAATAAGTAAAATAAATGAAAGGTAAAAAGTGAGTCACGGAAGAGGTCCCTTAAGTGGAGGCAAAGTGAGGAGACAGCTCTGCTTCATGAACCTCCCTGGAGGGACCAGTACCTTTCCTTGTGCAAGGGTTCAGGTCTCCGCTTACCCTGTGCTCACTCAGTCCAAGAACATCTAGGTGGCGATTAATACTGAGACAGTGGGGGTTAGGGGTCAGTAGTTCAGGATTGGGAATGTGAGACCCCTTATGCTCAACCAGAGTGGAGACAGGCATCCCCAAATGCCTGCTCCAAACCAGGGATTCAGCAGTGGATTCTCCTTGCCCTTTGGCTACCAAATCTACCCCTTTCTTCACTCCTTCATTCACCTCCTGGTCCACCAGCATTCTTCTCTCCAGGAGCTCCTGGTAGACCCCGCTGACCCCACCACCCAGAGAGTCCTCACGCTCCTTGGTCAGGCCCTGCTGGTAGGTGCCACGTCCCACACATATGAGCTCTCTGGTGCCCAGCCTCTGGCCAGAGACAGATGAACAGACTGACACACTGGTCTCTATCACAATGCCCAGGTGGCCCACCAGGGGAGAGCAGAGCCTTGTTCTTCAGGCAGGGAGGACCCAGGAGGCTGCCACAAGGCAGCAGGACAACAGGGCACGCATGGAACAAACTGTCTTTTGCACAACAGATTCACTCCAGTTATCACTCATCAAACACATGAAAGATCCTGAAATGCGGGGGAGGGGGCGCAAGGGAGGGAAAGCACTGGGGGAGGGGGGAAAAAAAAAAGAAAGATCCTGAAATGCACATGTTCAGCACAGCCTCAAAGTTTTATTATCAGTGTCTCTCGTCCGGGTGCCCTTTCCCGTGAAGTCTGGCCGTCCATTGAGTTTGACTCCATAAAAGGAAATAATGGCACCAGGCTGAGCATGTGCTCGTGGGGAGACGAGCCCGCCTCAGGACACACAGCCCCTGCTCCCCTGGGGAGGAACCTGGTGGAGGCTAGAGGGGTGACCTGGACACACAGGACCACAGGGCCATGAAAGGGGCCACGTGGCACATGAGGGGGCCAGCACCTAGCCCACTCAGGCTCACCCAGAGCACATGGGACTGCAGACGTGGGACAGCTGGAGCGCACGAGACCTCCTAGAGCACACAGACCATCCCCGGCTCGCAAGCCCACCCAGCCTCCTTGTGGGGCTCCCTACAACAAGGAGGACCCCCAGGATCACACGGAACTAGTGGCTGCCCCAACTGAGCTCTGCTGCTTGGTTTTTCTGGGTCTTCCTTTGGCCTCACTCCAAACATTGTTGGTTTCTCTCAGCGTAGGTCTGGGTGTCAGAAAAAACGGGGTCACCTATGTGTCCCACATGCCTGGGGGAAAGGCCAGCTTCAGAGGAAAGTCTTCGACCAGAGCAAAGACCCACTTGGCCTGGGGCGCATGTGGGGGACAAGAGGCCCATCTCTACCTCACTTATGTGTGAGCGTGTCTGTGCAAGTGAATGACTCTGTGTGTGTGTGTGTTCTGCTGATGCGTATTCCAGTGTGAACATGTGTATGTGTGTCTAAGGGTGTGGCGGGTGTGCATGTGTGCTGTGTGTGTGTGTGTAAGAGTGTGCACTTGGGCATTCGAATGTACACATGTGTACTGTGTGTGTAAGTGGGCACAAGCCTGGGGGGAGCAGGCCCACGTACAGTCATGTATAGCACACTGTGCCTGACTGCGGCAGGGGTCAGACACTTTAAGGAGCTCCCCATTTGGCAGGAGGGCGGATCCAGGTTGAATTCAGGGACACAGGAACTCAGGGCAATATGCAAATCAGAGGGCCTCGGTCCTGCAGGTGCTGGCTGCGGCTCCCGTGGGCAGTGCGGTGTGGACGGAGAGGGTCCTGCCTGGAGGGCGGGGTTAGGTCTGGAGCCTGAACTCGTGGGTGCTGGTCTCCCAGCGGGTGGGGTCCTCGTCCACCATGCTGCGCTCCGTAAAGGTCACATGGCCTTCCGTATCCACGAGGATGACTGTGTTGGTTCTGAAAGACAGGACAGGATCGAGCTGCCCTCTGCCCTGCCCCAGGGGTCAGTGAGCACTGGCAGAGGGCAGAGGGATGCACGGAGGGGTGCGGGGACTGGCAGGTGACACAGGTTGGCAGGCTGGCCTCGAAGCAGAGGAGCTTATCCAAGGGCATCTGGCCATGGAGCCTAGTGATCTAACTACCCCCTTCAGTGTGGACAGTGATGCCTCAGCTGGCCCCATAGGCCCCCTGGGGGCCCACTCTAAGCACTCCTCTTTGAGCCAGGAGCTTCCGCCTGGTAATACTCTCATCTGCCCACACCCTCCCTCTGCAGCAGTTCCCACAGCAACTGGGAGCCAAAGAGGCCACCTCTCAGCTCAGACCCCTTTGGGGATCCCTATGGGGAGAGCTCTACCTGGATCCTCTGCATACCTTAGACCCTCCCTTCTCGCCCACACCAATCCCCCCCCTCCCCGCCCCAAGCACCACCCAGGCTGTGTTCTGTCCCTTAAACAGAGCAAGCTCCTAACTTGGTGGCTGGGTCCCCCTATTCTATTTCAGGAAATCCCACCCTCCCTGCCCTCCTCCCCCCACTAAATGGGCCCCTCCCTTCCTGACACACAGTGAGAGCTCGCCTAGGCCCTGCCTGAGGCTCTGTGGGCTGTCCCACGGTGTGACCACAGGAGCATCTCTAAGCGGACTGAGGGGCTGCCTGGTTGGACCTCAGAACACCCAGTCAGGACTGCATTTGAAGCTGTACAGCAACAGAAAGTAGCCTGTGACCAATGCTGGGCTGTGGGGAGACTGTATCGTATTGTTGTTGTTGTTATGTGCCGTGGAGTCGCTTGCGACTCATAGAGACCCTATGTACAACAGCCCTAAACCCTGCTCTATCCTGTGCCAATCTCACTGCCTCCAACACACCCATCCCGATTATCCCAGTCACTGAATCAATCCACCTCCTAGAGGGTCTTCCCCTCCTGTGCCCTCCCTCCACCCTCCCAAGCATGATGTCCTTCTCCAAGGACCTCTCCCTCTTTGCAACATGCCCAAAGTACGTCAGATGAAGCTCCAGAATCATTGCCTCCAAGGAGCAGCCTGGTTTAACCCTCTCCAGGATGAATCTGTTTGTTTTCTTGGCAGTCCAGGGTACATTCAATACTCTTCTATAGCACCACAGCTCAAAGTAGTCTATTAAAAAACGTGCCAGGAATGGCTACACTTATGCTAAGCTTGTTGTTAGATGCCGTCGAATCGAATCAAGTACGACTCCAAGTGACCCTGTGAACTGATCCAAGTGATCTGAACACTGCCCTGTCCTGTGCCACCCTCATCAAGTCTGACACACTTGAGCCCATTGCTGCGGTTACTCTGTCAACCCATCTTGTTGAAGGTCTTCCTCTCTTTCCCTGACCATCCACCTTTTTGGAGCATGATGTCCCTTCCCTCTCCAAGGACACTATGCCTCTTCTAATAACATGCCCCAACTATGTGAGGTGAAGCTTAACCATCCTTGCCTCTGAGGAGCACTCTGGCTACACTATACTAAATTCATTGAGCTGTTATTTTATTATTTCCCTAGTTTCTTGCTTTAGGGAATAGCTCTGGAATAGACAGACACTTCCCTTTATTGTTTTTAGCCATGCCTGCAGAACCAGTTATGGATCAAGGACGCAATGGACTTTAAACCAAACATTGTGTGATGCTAGTATTTTCTGTGAGCTGGTGTAATTTTTAACTTCACCATATATCTTGGCGTTGTTTGCGTAAGGGGGTAAAATGGTTAGTTCCCTCCCCTGCCCTAAGAGGAATCTCTTCTGGTTCAGTCTGCTGCCGCTGGGCCCTCACAGGGGTAAGGAGTTCCCTTGCATGGGGTTCGAATCCACCAGGTGCTCCTCGGGTGAGAGACAGGCAAATGGCAAACTCCTCCTCTGTGATTTACAGCCTCTGAAAACCTGCTATGAGCCTGTTCTGATTTGACAGAATGTAACTTAAGGAAGAATCTCACAGCTATGCACAGGGCTGACTGTTCTTCAAAAAACCCTGATAGTTGACATGTCCCGAGAAGGCGCCTAGATGTCTGGATCCTGATCGGGCCCTGGGCCTGATCACACATTGACAGGACCCCTGTGCCCCCAAATTCTGGAGCAAACTAACCCCCTGTCTGGGTGTCCCTGAAAGCCCTCTAAAAGGACTGGCTTTGTCTGCCTGCACCACTCTGGTCCTCTCTGGGAGCACTCACCTGGAGTCCCTCTCAGGTCTACTAGTAAAGGCCTGTTCGCTGCTTGAGATCGCCGCTCTCCTTTTTGTATCTAACAGTAACAACCATAATACACTGAATGTCTTTTAGTCTGACTCTGGGCTGGTTGTTCAGCCTTTCTGCAAATACTAATCTTGAAGGGCTTTCCCTCTGGAGAGCTCACCCCAACAGAGACCACGACCCCATGCCCCAAGGTGATGGGAAGGGCCGGTGCTAGTCTAGCTGCCACCCAGGTAGGGCGCCTGGCTTTGCCTGCTGTGCCTGGTCCCTGCCTATGGGCTCTGGAGGCTGTAATTCCTCCAGAGGGCGGCTGAGCCCTCGACCTGCCGCCAAGCAGCCCTCTGGGTCCTCAGGCCTTTCTGCAGCGTCTCTCTAGCTCTGTGCCCTCGCCTGTAAGGTGTCTTTCCTAAGGGTGCTGAGCTGGAGATCTGACCCTTACCATGGCACCCTGTCACCGAGCAGCACATGGCCTCCCCAATCTATGATGCCCCCTTGGGACAGGGGCCTCCCTGGCTGAAGTGAGGCAGGTAACACACACTCCTCCATGCTAGGTGCAGAAGGGAAGACCAGCATCACAAGCTGAAGACTGGCCTACCTGGGCCCAGAAACCAAGCATGTATGTGACACCCTGGAGATGCCACCAGCTAGTGCCTGTCACTGCTCACACAGGCTGCCTGCGGGCCCCTATTTGACAGCAAGGCCCCCGACAGCACGGGCCAGGGAAGAGAACGTCTGCACACACGGGCCCACAAAGCTCACAGAGCGTGCGCGTGGGATCCAAGGCCAAGCCGGGAGGCGTCTGCACGCAGCTGCATTCTCTCCCCACACCAGGGGCAGCCAAGGCCAGTGGCAAGCACGGGTGGGGCAGCCCCCTCCATGCATGAGTGTCTAACTGCAGTGGGCAGGACAAGGGGTGGGTGGCCCCCAGCCACTTCCTGCCCAAGTGACCAATGGCCCTGGGCCTCAGGAGCCTCGGCCTGTTTCTCCCAGGACCTGGTGGGCCAGACATTCCTGCTATAGCACCTTCCCCTGAGACTTCACCAGTGCCATACACGTTCTACCCTCGCAAGACACCAATCTTGCCATCAGAACCACGGTTCCCTCAGCTCCCTCCAGTCTCACAGTTTTCTCGGGCCTGCTCGGCTGGCCAGCCTGTGACCCTGACCCCTTCTCAGTAAGGACGCCATGGCAGATGAGGCCAGCATGTCCCCGGCACTGATTGTGGGCCATGTGCCCCCATGCCCGACCCGATGCCTACTGACCACGCTTCCTCTACTTGTCTCTGTCAGTGGACGCAAGCAGCCGGTAGGGGCCAGAGCTGGGATGGGGACTTTGGGGTCTGCTTCCTACTCGTGACCCTTCAGACTGGTACTTCTCAACCGTTGGTCCTCGCCTGCCACTCTCAGACCCAAGCTGGTCCAGCAGTACCTGTCCTCCCTCCATCCCAGCAACACGGAGCACCCAGCACTGGGAGGGTTCCTCCAGCTGCCTGGACACTTCACCCCTTTACTGGGACACCTGGCATGTGTGACATGGCGTCCGCCCTGGAACACGGGGCTCACACCAATGGCTCATATTTGCCTGAGCTGAGGTAATCTCCCCGGGCTGAGAGTGCCTAACCCCGACCTTGGTCATCCAGAAAGCGTGTCAAGTCCAAGGCCCAGTCACACAGAGAACCAAGTTTAAGGTCTTGCGGTGAGTGAGGGGAAGAGGCACCCACATCTATTCCCAAACCTAAAGTGTGTGCAAACACAAGCGTCCCTGGTGCCCCCTGGTCCCCCTGAGCCAGGCACTGGCTCTTTATGGGAAGACACAGCCCAAGAGTCCTCCTTTCTTATGCAGATGCTATGGAAGTATAAGGGCCTCTGTGCGCCAGTGGGCACCCTGGATGTGACCGTCAGTGTGCCCCCCACAGCTCTCCAGGCTGAAATGGTAGCTGGCTAAAGTCAGGGCAGAGGCTCTGAGTCCAGGCTGTTGGGGAAGCCCCCCTGCCCCAGAGTGGTTCTGGGGCTACAGGAAACCTGGGGCCTGAGCTGGAGGAAGTCTGGGAGTCCCACCTGCACGCGCGCGTACACACACGTGTACCTGGTGCCGTAGTCAGAGCAGCGCACGTGCGCGCACACACACACACACCTGGTGCCATAGTCAGAGCAGCGTGCACGCGCACACACACACACACACACACACACACGCATACCTGGTGCCGTAGTCAGAGCAGCGCACGCGCGCGCGCGCACACACACACACACACACACA